ATTCCAAAGCAGCCAGATCTCAGAGCTCTGAGGCCTGGTACACTTTTCTAAGCTTTTGTAGAAGTGCTTATGATGGAAACATATTCAGGTCCATATGCTAGGACACACTTTTTCTGACAGGCACATACACACACATCTCTTACACTCTGACAAGCCTACACACACACACACACACACACAGAATTTCTGCAGAAGCCAGTAGAGAGGATGAGCCTGGCTTAGCGTGCCACATGTCCACCTCCACCATTCCGATCTAGGCTGGTTACGCAGCGCTGGCATCTTTGTCACTGACTCAGTCACTGAGACACCACCAGGGAAGACAACCAATATGTTGTTTGCCTCTCTGGAGTGAGAACATGTCAGATAAAGAGTCCCAAAATGTGGCCTCCGTGCAGCTATGGATGACCTGTCCCCGACTGGCACCAGGTTTGCCTTCTGTTTAGTTCCAGTGCCCTCTCACCTGTCTGGAATGATATCTGGGAGACCCGATGGAAGAAACCTCCATGCTGTGCTCTCTGTAGGAATAGTGGCCATGTGGCTATGTGCAAGGCTGGCTAAGTGTAGGTTTGGCCCAGAATGATTCCTGCTATTTATTATGCAAATAATAAATGTCAAACAATATCCCTTCCCCCACAAAAGCATATGTGGTTCATACTCCAAGCACCCCCTCAGTCTGTCACCCCAAACACTCCCAAATCATAGACTCACTAAACTGCCTGCCTTCGATAGGGCTCCTCATTTCCTCCCGTACAGGAGTAATAATTTCTAGGGAAAGAAGATGGAAGCACTTATGATGTCATTCCTCTGGGGGTGCCTGGTGTGGGAAGATACTTAGAAAATGTGTGATTGAAGGAAATGAGGGCTGGGTGCTATAGATGTGGAAGTGCTTCCATTTTTTCAAGGTCACTTTAATTTCTGCACAGGGAGAGAGCCCAAAGCTTTGGTGGCCTCTGGGAGCAGAGAGCCCTACCCAGCACCATCAGACCACATGGAAAGCTTCCGAAGGTAAAGGCCATGAGGACAGTCACAATGTCCTCCCCTGCACAAATGCACACAGACACCTGTATGTGTTGGTACCTGGCATTCCTTTGGAAACTGACTTTAAGGTCTTCTTTTATATCCTGGTTGCCTCTATGAGGACTGCCCACCTGTGGCAGCTACGACCCTTTAAATTTCTGGACAGTGATTCACAGATTAGTCACATATAACACCAAGTCATTCGTAGGTACAAAGCTTAGGCCCAGTGTGTACTTGCCAACAATGTCCCTGTCACCCTGCTTGGAGCCCAGCCTATATAAAATGAGAGGCTCTCAAATTCCAGCCAACTCTGGAAGCAGAGCCAGTGTTAGAGAAATCACCATTTTACTTGTGAAATTAATGCCTGGATTCCGTAGCAGATTCTTTCTAACAGAATTCTGATTTTCCTCGGGCATCCACCCATTGCTGAGCTGGGCCGCTCCACTGGCAGCCGTTATGGATCTAGGTGTGGGAATGTGGAGAGTGTTTCATTTAGGCTAGGGAATTATAGCCCATGCTCGAGGAAGCACTGTGCTTCTTGATTTGCAGATAACACATGTAGCCTTGGTGGCCACTGCCAGTCATTCCAAAGCCAAGAAGAGAATCAGCTTAGACACTAATTTGATGCTGTCATCAATATACAGACTACATCCTACCGGGGCCTGCTCTACCCCAGACCTCCAGTTATACCAGGTGATGCAACTCCTTATTGCTTCCCTCAGGTTGATTTGACGTCTTCCACTCCTTATAGCCAAGAGGATTCTAAGTGAGGTGCTCTCTAAGCCTGACCAAGGAGGAAGACTCTTTATGTGGACCGAGGTCAAGACAACATAGCCCAGTTTTCCAGAGATTCACCTTCCATTGTGACCTCAGCAGTTTAGTTCTGTTTAGTTCCAGTCTAGAACTCCAGGAGTGAACTGTTTAGTTCACTACTCTTTTTTTTGTGTCTTGACTGTGATCCTTTTAAAGCTCTGCTAGAGAGCTGAGGGCACGCTGGGGACTTTAAATAACTCTCTTCTAAGTGTTCAGGGATAGCAATAGGAAAAATAAGCCTAATAACAAATTTGCAAGTAGGCGATCTGCTTCTCCACGTACAGCTTGGTCTTCAGATTGAGGCTGTGGTTTTCATCCAGTCTTTCTGGAGTAGGCTCCAGCTAGCATCTGAGAATCATGCCTTAGAAATCCATGTTCTTAAAGACGTCCTCTGAGGCCAAGGGAGAGGGAGAGGGAATCCTCTCTTTCATTTTCTCAGCTTCCTGTCTCACATCCTGCTTCTTACAGTGATTGACTAGGAAAAGCCATGTTCCCAACTACGAGAAGAGGCCCTACTTCAGGCCACAATAGCCATCATGAATACTTGTTGAATAATGGATGAAAAGGAAACCCAGGGCAATGATGCCAGCTCTGACTCACGAGCCAAAAATAGGCCATGAGGGGGATGGGCCTCTGTAGCCCATGCTAAGCTCGAGACAAAAGAGGTGACACTACCCATAGCCTCCACTCCCTTCTTGGCAGTGGAGTGCGGCTGGAGCAGAAGACTGGGCCCACTGCCTTGGCGTTACCCCGCTCCTGCCGTTTGCTTGTTGTGTGAATGCAAGCAGCTTTCCTAGTTCTTTGGGTCTCAGTCTCTTTTTATGCAAGTCTACTGTATTCGTTACCTCGTGACTGAGAAATGTATTCCTCTGCCTGGCACATTAGTTAGCAGCATCCTGGTACGTGACAGTTCATTTTAGGTATTTGTAACCACGCAGCCGGTTTCTCGCTGTTTTCCAGGATCTGTTTGAGAGACCCCTAACTGTGTCTTTGTAACTCAGTGTTCTGTTGCTCTCTCGTGTCATCCTCAGATTTGGCACTCAGTGGATTCTGCTCCAGGTTCTAGCGCTGGTGGGACTCCGTCCTGACTTCCTGCCATCTGTGGGAGGCCTGTGGCCCTTCCAGGTCCAGGACACTTCCTGTCTAGATGTGACTCCTATCCATCACGTCTAGACAGGATGCTGGCTGTAGCCAGAGGAGCCTGCTGAAGGAAATGAGCCAGTGAAGTCCCTTTGGAAACGCTGGAAAGGTCCATGGCTGTCGGTTGAGCCTTTACCATCTCAATGATATGGCTGCATTAAATGGGAAACCGTGCCAATTTGAGGCCAGAAGCAAGTCTGGGTGCTGCTGGCGTAGGAAACTGTTTGATCTCTCTTAATAAGGCCCGTCTACCTGGAGTGGAACAGAGCCGACAATCTCCTGGGGCTACAGCAGCCAGATGCCTGTCAATGGGTTTTGCCATTGATCTTGATAATTAGGAGGAGCCTGAAACTGGCATGATAAGGCAAAAACAATCCTTGCCTGATAGGCTCGTGTTCAGAAAGCTTCACCATTTCACGTCAGTTGAACCAGTATTTTCAGGGCGCCTCCCATGAGCCGTTCCCTGGGAACGCAAAGATGCTGGGTGCTGGGATTGCAAAGATGAGTAAAATGTACTTCACAGCTTGAAGAGAGAGCTAAGGGTGTGGGCAGGTGGGGGCAGAACACGGTAGTGCGATCAGTTCTCAGACAGAAGCATAAATAGGGCCCAAATGGGGCACTAAGGGCAAGTGAGCTCCCCTGGGAGTACAAGGTCCGTAGTCTTCAGGGAGCAAATAACCCAGATATCAATTCCACACAATGTTTATCGACTGTCAACTGGTCCTCATTTCTGCACTAGAGGATTTCACAGGCTTTGTTTATGCTTCACAAAAGCCCTGTGAAGTACGTCTTATTAACCTTGTGATTTTTAAAGGTGACTGAAAGTGCCTGGGAGTCACCTGGCTAATTAGTGACGTGGAAGCTTTGGTAGAATTATAACTCACAGTCTGACCACCCAAGGAACGGAAGCCCTAACTTGGGGGGTCTGTTTTACTCACGCTTGCACGCTTCAATTGTACGCGTGGATACCTAGATGTGTACTTACCATTCTGGAAAATTCATGTGAGTGAAACCCACAATGGAGATGCTACAGTGAACCTCCTTGCAAATCCCCACTTCCTCCCTCATTATCGTTCTCAGGTTTGGAGGCCTTCAACTTGATCAGGAAAAAAAGGAAAAGAATTCTTTGCCTCCGGAAGCCACTGTACCTCTCTACTTTGTAACAGTGGCCCTGAAAACCACAAAGAGCCTACTGGCAGAATAGGGTAGGCTGAGAAGGGAAGAATAATAGGAGCGAGGGAGAGCCGAGGAAAGAGGAGGGGAGGTTAAAGGGAGTGAGGGGTGGCGCTGTGAAAGTAGAGACTTACTCAGATGGGGAGGGCGGGCTTCGGGAGAGTAAAAAACAGTCTGGAGATAAGGGAGCGTGAATAGGAAGTTACACAGTCAGCCTCAGAACGAGCAGAAGAGGGGTTTCCACATACTCAGCCAATCTCTGTATTTCTGCCTTGATCCTTGGCTTATGGGGAAAGAGTCTCAGCAAACCTAAGAATGCAAAGCCTCAGGCTCTCTACCAGTAAAGGAGGGAAGCAGGGGCTGACCAGTGTGATCTCCAGGGACCTTTCCAACTCTGACATTCCAGGGCTGTGGGGCTGGCCCATCTTTCTTGCATTTGATTGGACAGTGAGAGGCTAGGAGCCTGGGAACTTGAGCCAACTCTGCAGGCGCATGGGCAGAAGTGGCCGATCTAAGACAGAATCAATATACTGTCTTGGGCTATAATTACCAAACATGCTATTTAAGGAAGGCTATCTTAGTCCTACCCTCATCCACATAGTTTTCCTAAAACTCTCTTGTCACCATATCATATTTTCTTTTTTGCAAGAATATTTAGCTTTCACTGAGTATTGCCCAGAGACAGAAGAGGTCACTGCAGCGTTCTGGCCCTTAGTAAGGGACTAATAGTTCTCAAAGGCATCAGGTCCACATCTTTGGAATTTGTAAAGTTTACCTTATTTGGAAAAAGAGTCTGTGCAGATGTGATTAAGTTAAGGATTTTGAAATGAGAAGATTATCCTCTATTATCCATGTAGGCTGTGAATATAATCACATAAAGGTGAGAGAGGAAAACTTAACACACAGAGGCAAAGCCGTGAAGATGCTGGCCTTGAAGACTGGAGTGAATGATGTAGCCCCAAGCCGAGGGATGTCGGCAGCCACAAGAAACTGGGAGAAATACAGAGAAGATTCTTTCCGGTGGGCCTCCAGTGGGAGTGTGACCCTGTGACATACTGATTTCTGCATCACAATGCTGATATTTTACTTTGGACCTCCACAATTGCAAGGAATAAATTTCCATAATTTTTAAGGGACTAAGTTTGTTTTAATCTATTACAGCACCCATAGGAAACTAATATACCCAGTCTATCCTGCCCCCAATACCTGCATGTTTTGCACACATACCTTCCATTCTGAGTACAGTCAGGCCCACTCTTTCCCTTGGAGTTAGTGGAAACCAACTTAGCGCTCTGATTGTTCTGTAATAAAAAGCTTACGAACTTGGAGAAGGAGAAGGCCTAAATTTAAGGTCCAGTTTATTACTTATTTGTGGTGAGCAGTGGGCTTAATTTTTTTAAGCTAATTTTCTGATCTGTAAAATGGGAAGAGTCACCCCTGACTCGCACACTGCTGTCATATTAGTATTACATGATGTATTGGACTCAAAGGCATCGTCACTTTTAAAACTGTATGTGTCAGGAACTAGTTATTATTTGTCACTAACTTGTGCTTCCTGGACACAATCCTGGGAAGATCCTCCTAGATATCAGCACTCAATCTTTAGGAGATGCAGTTAAGAGAAACTTGTGCTAGTTCCAACCTCCCCAATGTTTGTTTTTTCTAATTCTGTGCAGTAGAAAGCAGTGTGAGACAGTGCGAACTGTCTAAAGAAGGTTTATTTTATTTATTTATTTATTTTGTTTTTTTTCCAGTACTGGGAATCGAACTCATGACCTTGTACTTGCCAGGTAGGCGCTGTGCCACTGAGCTAAATCCCCATCCCCTAAAGAAGGTTTATAATGTAGACTCTTTCCAGTTTCCTAAAACCAGAGTCACTGATGAGCATTATCCACAGACTTGGAAAAGATCATGCAAATCCTCAATGTGCACATGACCTTAGCACCAACAAGCTAAGAGGACTTGGCAAAGCCTGATAACTTGTGGACAATGTCCGATTTGCCTTGTGTCTCCAGTGCCTAGCATGAAGGATCCAGTAAATGTTTATTGAATGAAAGAAGAAATGGACAGATAAATGAACTAATTGATTAATTAATTAAAAAGAACGAACCCCGAATATCCACATCACCTCTAAGCCGCCACCTTCTCATATCCCCCAGTATTACCCTTGTTTCTGTGATTCAGTCTTAATCCAATTCTCCTGTCTCAACACAATCTCCTTGCATATCTGTTTTGAGCTTGGCTGAGACAAGTATTTGTAAATATCTACCACGAACAATATCTACTACAGATCAGCACTCTTTGTGGCCCTCCCACGAATCTATTGGTTATCTGTAATCACTAGTCGTATGGATTTCCAACCTTTTCCTCCACTGGGCTTACAGAGGCAGCAGGAAGCCCTACTTATCTGAAAGCACTATCTGTATTCTGTTAGACAATCCATCTGCACCTCCTGACTGGCAGCTCCAAAAGAATTAGGGTTTTCCACCTTCTATTTAGCAAGTCCCACTTCTTTCACCCAGGCTATTAGGGTTCCAGCTCAATTCCCTTAGATTTCATCAAAGATATAGTTGGGAAGAGTAGGATAAAAAAATTTCTGTAAATCAAGTGGAATTTTTGAGATTTTTTTTTCTCTTGTTGTTAAAGTATGCAATACATGTTCATTTTATAGAGCTTTAAAAGCACATAGAGGTATAGTCTTGAAAAATGTCATCATAATTAAGCACCTCAGCTGTTGACATGCTGGTACATTACCTTCCAGTCATTTTTCTACAATTTTCCTGTAATTGAGATTGGTGTATATATAATTCAAATTTTGTTCTCTAAATTTAATAGCACAAACCACTTCTCACAGTATCAGAATTCTTTTTTGTTTGTTTTTGTTTTTCTTCCAGTACCAGGAATCGAACTCATGACCTTGTGCTTTCCAGGCAGGCTATTTGCAGCTGAGCTAAATCCCCAGCCCCAGTATAGGAATGCTTCACAGATATCACTTTTAATGACTGCATAAAATGACTCAACCTAATACTGGTAGCAGTTTACAAATGTGGTCCACCTGTGAGCTTTCCCTTAGTCCTCCAGGTCTGTCCTATTTTCTTTGTTTTCTGTACAATCCGTTTGGAGCACTTGGCATTTCTTTGAGTTCTCTAGAGGAATAAGCCCATCCAAAGCAATGATGAGCAATGTAGGCTCTTACTGAAGATTTCACAGGGAAGGCACAAGAAAGTGTTTACCTTGTATATTCTATACCATATAACTTTCATCACCACATGGCTGAACCGCCACTGATTTATACTAAATCAGGAGGCCCTATGTGGCTGGAATGTTTTCAGGAAGTATTTGTTTCTTTGTTCTTTCTGTCTTCCTAGGTTTTTTAGGAATTTTCCATCATGCTTTTAAGCTGCCCTTATATGAGCTCCTCGCTTCACCAACTTATACTCAGCCTGGGACTAAGGAAAGCAGTCTCTGGCCACCCACACAAACCTACCTTCCTTAAAGGGCAGTTAGTGACAATCATTGGGTCCTTCAATGGCCCTTCGGGGGGGAAAATCCATCCCTCTGCCCCACTGACTTCACTTATCATCCTCAGAGTATTTCCTCCAGACACAGAAGACCTTTCCCTAAGAGTAAATGACTTTCCCAATTTCATTAGAGTGCTGTATAATGAGATCTCTTTGATTTGCTTTTCATGGGGTCAGTTCTTTTTTTATTAGGTCTGAATTGGATAAAAAATTTGTTGTAAGAAGCAAATGGAAAACTGTACAAATAGGGGAACTGTATGTGAGAATTCCATAAATATCCAGAAAATGCTCATCTCCATCAACTCTAATTATGGGGCCGTTGAGTTGGAGGGAGAGATACCAGAGATAATTTTAAATAAAATAATTCCAGCTCATAGATACATGGTAAAAGTGGGAGTTTGACAGGTGAGGCAACCATGAAGGGGTATATTTTGTCCTCTAGGAAGACCCCCACCCCACGACTGTCAACAGCAGACTGGCTGGTTTAGGTTAAGAACTCCCTTTGCAAGGTTCCTACCTACGTCACTGGATTCAGTGGTGCTTATTTCTGGAAAGCCATCGCAAATTGGTATGCGTCCAAAGTGAAGCCACAGCAACCATTTGAAGGCCCACGAGAGAAGCTGGAAGAAGAGGGGAGGGGCCCCCAAGAGCCATATGAACAGAAGGTAGGATGGTACCTGCCAACAAGCAGGGGAAAAGGGTTTGGCTTGGAGAATCTTCAGGAACTCCAATCATGGGAGAGGCAGGGGTCCCACAGAAGAAATGCTCAGGGCAGGAAGTGAAAGGGGCTCCCCTTGTGAGAGGTAAGCAAATGCACCGCCACCTTGCAGCTCTTATATGTTTGTGAGTCAGCAAATGAAACAGCCTGTTAGAAACGGTAGAATTAAAAGAGACTGCTGGGAAGACCCCTTCCAGAGGGCAGCTAGACTCTGAGTGTGGGAGGGGACCTGCCAAATGAACGAGGAGGTTTAGCGGGAGGCAGCTGCAGCGCTCCCTTTTCGGAATCTGATGTTTCCCAGTGCATGGAGCCCCTTGACTTCTGTGGGCGATTGGCTCCAGGATCCCCATCACACCCAAATTCAAGGATGCTTAAGTCTCCCATAAAACAGCCCCGTAGTTGCATGCAACCCGCACACATCCTCTTGTATACGTTCAGTCATCTCTGGGCCACTTAAAATAGCTAACATAAGTGATGTATAAAATGCCATGAGACAATGCTTAGCCTTATTATACATAACACACCCTGCTATTTCTATTTGATCCTGTCTCATCTTTTAAAATGCTGGTCACAACACACATTCTAAGAGTTGTTACGCTGTGTTTAGAGAATGACAGAAGAAGTCTATACATCGTTGGTATAGATGCAATATGTTTCTTTTTTTTTTTTTTTTTCTCCGGTACCGGGAACCGAACTCATGACCTTGCGCTTGCCAGGCAGGCACTTTGCCACTGAGCTAAATCCCCAGCCCCTGCAATATGTTTCTTTGTATTTTTGATCTGCGGCTGGTTTAATCCCCACATACAAACCCCCTGGATACTGAAAGCCAACGATAGTTCACTGCCCCCTCGTCGTACACACTGTCAAGCGTCCTCACTATTACTCAGCCTCCCAGAGTGAGGGTAGGGAAGGTTTCAGACTTAACACATACACAAACACAAGCAAAACAAACAAAGAGCAAGGCGCCCAATTCAATTAGAATTTCACGGAACAAATAACATTTTAACATAAGCGTGTTCCAAACATGACATAGCAACCCAAAAATGACAACAAAACTAGTGACTGCCCAATAGAACATAAAAAAGTTAGCGTAACGGAGAATCTAGCTGTTTGAGAACTTGTGTGTGTGAGAGAGACACAGAGACAGAGACACACTGAGATGAGAGACAGAGAGAATGGTTAGCACTGTCACTGGTGGATGTCTCTTGTAGAGCTATCAAGAAGGTAAAAATGATTTGTAGAAAACTTAGTTCCATGATAAACAGAAAATGAATTAGTCGCTTGTGTGAATTGTCCACCATTTCTGACCCTACCATCTTTTCACTTCTTGAATATTGTTTGCGGTCACGTCATCCAAACTGTTTTACTGAGGGTTCGCCAATCCTCTCCAACCTCCCTGACCATGAAGTCACACTGATATTTTGCAAAATCTCTGACATTTGCTTGTAGTCCCCGCCAGGGCGGGACTGCTTGATTCTTCCACCTGTCCCTTTCCCTGTCATCACGAACTAATCCTGAGACTACTTAGAAAGTTTTCCCAAAGTTCACTCCCCGCCACTTCTCGTCTCTCACCATGTCACTATCCCAGTTTCCTTATGGGTTGGAATGCAGTCTCACACACATCATCTGCTACTTTTCAGAGGGAAACCATTAGCCAAATGATGTTTTTAGTAGATCTGAATAGCATGAGTTCTTATAGTACCTTATTCTCCCCCTGACCAGTTTTAAATTTTTTTGGAGGAGCCTCCTCCACTTCCTCCCTCTACCCAGGTGTCACCGTGTCTGCTCCCGGATCAGACTTACCCACTAGCTCCTCTGCTGGCTGCTGCTCTTCTGGAGCACTGTACATTTCCAGGTAGCCCTGCATCTTCCTGGCTCGCTTCTG